TGTTGTAGAGGTGAGGTCTCACCAAGTTGCCCAACCTGGTCTCAAACCCTTGGGCTCAAGCAATCCTCTTGCCTTGGCCTCCCAAAGTGCTGGGATTACAGGCGTGAGCCACCACGCCCAGCCAGTAGTTAAGTTTTAGGGGAGTCAAAGTTATATGCAGATTTTCAACTGCACAAGGTTCGATTCCCCTAACTTCTGCAATGTTCAAGGTTCAACAGTATTTGAAAGCTGGCAAATGAAGAGTCTTAGTGAAGGCTGTAAGATCTGCTCTGTCTGCGCCTTTGTATGTGTGTGTGATACTTTGCTACCAAAATGTATGAGAGGGCCAGATACAGTGGCTCACGCCTGTAATCCCAGCACTTTGGGAGGCAGAAGTGAGAAGACTGCCTGAGCCCCGGGGTTTGAGACCAGCCTGGACAACTTGGCAAGACTTCATTTCTACAATAAATCAAAAAATTGGCCAGGCATCGTGGCGCATGTCTGTAATTCCAGCTATTTGGAAGGCTAAGGCAGAAGGACTGCCTTAGCCTACTAGGTCAAGGCTGCAGTGGCTGTACATGTGTCACTGCACTCCAGCTTGAAGGCTGCAGTGGTTGTGCATGTGTCACTGCACTCCAGCTTGAGCAACAGAGTGAGATGCCAATGCGCGCACACACACACACACACACACACACAAAGAATGAGAGAACTCTAATTTAACTGGTTTAAAGAAAAAGCAGGCACTTAAATCTTTTAACTGAAAAAACAGAACCTAACTCAAATGTCTTTTAGTTCACTTAATTTGGGTAAATGTTTGGTAAATAAGGCTATGTGGAAACCAGTTATGTCTTCTGATTGGCAAAAATACTCATGTATTTAACTTTAGGGTTTCTGCTTAGGTGGCAAATGCCTAATATTCACCTGTAGTAAAAAAGTGCCCAACAGGGAAATAACATAAGATGATGGTTAGTTTTGTTCAATTTCTCCTAAAATTCTTGTGAACAGTTCAACCGTAACTGTTAAAAATTACTAAGTTAGGTAAATAGCATAGACATTTATAATTAATTCTTCATAATTTTAAAAAGAAAATATTTTTGGTAAATTGAAACCTTATAGTAAAATTCAAGCAAAAGACACTCATCAGATGTCTGTGCCATTTTTAAATAAGTTAAAATATTAAAACATTAATTATTAAGCTTAATAAAATGTATGTACTTTGGCATCTGGTTTTTACATGGTTATAAAGAAGTTTATTAGCAAACATAAAATCTTATTTTGCTTTGTAAGGAAGAAGTACATGTGTCTAGAAATATTAAAAAAAGTACATTCACAAAATGTTGGTATGTGACAAACAGTTCAGACTGCTTAGCTCTTAGGTTTTCACAAAAAAACTAAGGTTACAAAGAACTTGAAATTCTAGTTAACATATATGCAAGAAAAACTATTAGATAAAAAGAAAACAATTCTACATTGCAAAGTGTTTTAGTTGAGAAAAACTGTAAAAAGACACAAGGATTTTTTTTGTTAAAAATGAGCACTTTTGTCTAATGGGGAGGTTATTTAAAGGTTGTTTCAAAATATGGATTGAGGAAGGAAATAGAAACAAGGCAAGAAGGAATTAATAAGTAGGAGAGATGCAAAAAGAAACCTGTAAGCATGAGGATATATTTTTAGTTAGAAAAAAAGTTAAGCAATTTTTTTTTTTTTGAGAGAGAACTTTGTGTGGTCAAAATGATAAGGGAAAATAGGAAAGTACACTTTTATCCTAAGGCAGAAAGTCAATGTAAAAACAGAAGTACTGTAAAGGATAAAACTAACGATTTACGCAAATCATAGAAGATTTATGGATAATGAATCTTGTGAAAAGAATTTTATGTGTGATCAAGTTGGCTAAAATTAGAAGGACATTTTAAGTTTTCCCAAAATTGAGCATTAATGTCAAAATTACATTGGAGCAAGGCCAGAATTTTGGCCCCTCTATTGGAACAACATGATCTGCTCTTAATAGAAAATGGTGAGGCTGTTCTCTTTTAGGTAACTTGCCTCAGTAACAGGATCTGTGTTTCATTATAATTTCTTGTGCTTTGAGCCTTTGAAATATTTTGTCACTTTGGTTTTATTTCACAGTGATCTATAATCCTATTTTGGTCAAGTGGCTAAAAAAACTTCTCAAAAACCAAAATTAAGTCTTTTTGACCTCAAACTCAATTTGGGATGTTCCAGAGGGCCCTGGAACTCCTCAAAGGATCTGCAAAAACCAGATATAGGACTAATTAGGCATGTTAGATATATTAAACTATATGGGAAGCATTGTCACAATAAGAAATAATGTTTAATGTTCTTCAAGTTACATTTACATGGGTGATTAACACTCCAAAATTGTATAAAGTTCTTAGAAATCTGATATGTCTTAGTATAAATGCTATCAGTCATAACTTTGGTTCAGAAATAACCAAATTTCCTTGTCAACTGTGTCATTACTACAATGAACTCTCAGGGTTTTTTTTTTTTTTTTTTTTTTTGAGTTGGAGCTTACCCTGTCGCCCAGGCTGGAATGCAAGTGGCACACTCATGACCACCCCAGCGACGACCTGCTAGGTTCCAGCGATCCTTTCGCTTAAGCCTTCCAAGTAGCTGGAACTACAGATGTGCACTACCACACCCGGCTAATTTTTGATTTATTGTAGAGATGAGGTCTTGCCAAGCTGCCCGGGCTGATCTCGAACCCACGGGCTCAGGCAATGAACTCACCTCGGTCTCCCAAAGTGCTGGGATTACAGGCTGAGTCACTGAGCCTGGTCAACTCTCAGGTTTTTAACCATAGTCATTTTAAGTCTCACTCACTGTCTACAGTTAATTATTTTTTTCTGATACTTTTTCTGAACACTCTTTTGCAAGCAATTATAATCCCAAAGTGCTGTATCTTCAGAGAGGTATACGAGATGGTATATGGGAAGAATAAAATGAACCCTGATAGATACAAGTTTCTAATAACTTTTTCATACCATTGGACTAAATTTTTAAAACCCTAATGAAGAAACAAATGGATTTGTGCAACTGCTAACCAAGATCAAATGGAACAGAAATTAATTAAGTTAGACTGAATGAACTGATAAAAAAGAATTATGAGTTTTTATGGCTTCTTTATTTGAAACACTGCCAGTTGTTTTAGTGTCTTGTTTTCCAGATTTAAGGAAATTTTTTTTCTCTTATGGTATCTATAGCCTACAGCAATTTGGTAAGGCATACCTTTTTAACAAAAATGGAAACATTTGCTTTTCCTTTTTACATGATCCTAAAAGAATCTGAAAACTATTGGTATCTTTATTTTTATAGCAATATGGTTATTTGTGTACATTCAATAAGAATCTGTTCTCTTTATAATAGGATACAATTGAGAACTGGTTATATTACTAAGACTTTGATTGATATGTCTCGCCAAGTTGCCCGGGCGGGTCTCGAACCCGCGGGCTCAAGCAATCCACTCACCTCAGCCTCCCAAAGGCGTGGGATTACAGGCTGAGCCACCGAGTCCGGCTT